GATTGCGAACGAGATCGTTAGGAGGCTCACTTTTCTTGTGAGCCATATAGGACGACATCAGTCTTAGCTGTATCCCTTGAAGCTCTATGCTCGCCACTGTGTTTTCACGACGCTAATCCACCGACCTTGTTTCCAACTACCCAAGGCTCCAGGATTAGGCCTACGTCCACTCCGCTCGCATTCAACCGGAATATAAGGCCAGCAGTATTCTTAGGAATATCTTCAACGTTCTCCACTTCTGTGATGTCGGCGTCTGAGCCGTCTGAGACACTCATCCGGCACATCGACTCAAGGTCGAGCATAAGCTCCGTCTCCGAAGAGTAGTCTTCTTGGGCCGGCTCCAGCTCGTCATCGTTGCGTTTCGATCTCCGCAGCAACATTCTGCTCGACTGGGTTGTCGACAGGACCCGACAGGGCCGCTGCGTCCGACTTGTACATCTTGACTCCTCCTTGCAGACTGGTGATGGCCCTGGGTCTTTATCGAGGAGCTCAAGAGGTCAGCGTCGTCTCCTTAGCAATCTGCGTAAAGAAGACATTGGGCAGCACTCTGGAGAGCTTTGCCACCGGTCCAGGCGTCTCCTGTGAGCGCTGCCTCTTCAATTATGGAGTCACCTTTTTTTTTGTTCCAAAATCATCTCCGGGAGTCTGGCCCAGTATGCACATTAGGGTTGCGCGAATCCAAGGTATCAGGGTCTAAAAATTTTCCTTTTGGTATAAAACAATAAAATATAAATTCTTACCCCGGTATTTGGCTAATGGTTCCTATGGCAGCTATGCCATATATCTCTCGAATCGGATTAAATTTTTTTTGTGATTTAGAATATTAATTTGCTTTGCCAAACAATGCAAGAGTGATATGTTCATCAGAAAAATACCATAAATGGCTGCAAGTCTTTTTTAAAACGACGTTTGGAATTTTTGGAACAAATTCTTTTTAGTTGTACATTTCGCATTTAAATTGAAAATACAGATTCGACAATCCAGAATAGCTAATGTTGACCGACACCAAGTCGAGTTGTCAACTTAAACTTCTCTCGAAAAATAAATATTTTTAAGGTATCATCGCCTTAGACATACAGCGTGCGTGGTTCATTGTTCCAGGGAGTCGGAAACGATGTCTTTTCGAAACCCAAAAATTTTCGGAAATATGAGTTAACTCTAACTACTCAACGTTGATTACGCGCATGATTTATTCTCAATTCAACTTGACAGAAGTTAATTATTGCATTTCTTCTGTCATTTAAATGCGTTGCAACGTACTGATCAGTCACACTGTAACGACCCTAAAAGATTTCGCTACAACGCCTCTCCAAACATAGAATAATACATATATTATTCGCCATACGTACTTCCTAACTCTAAGAACACCCTCTCCACACATAGCTGCAAAGACACGCGCAGTCTCCACAAACAGCCGACTAATCATACCCGCTCACGCGGACTTCCCCCACTCCAGACCAAGCGATCGGTCAGGTGCAGTCTTCCGGGTTCATAAACCATGAAAAGATGACACCGCGAAAGCTCGCGCCGACGGCAAAACCGAGAAGTCGCGAAAACGCGAGGAAACAAAACCAGGTCAACCAATCTTCGATCGCCAAAACAGCTAAATTCGAGCACTATGCGGAAGTGCACTTTCGATCCCGCTGACGCAACGACAGCAGGCGTATAAATGGACGCCGGCCCGAACCAGAAGACCACTTACGTGGAAACCAGGCTGCGAGTACAGACGTTGTACCAATCTAAGAAAGCGCTAAAAGTATTTATAATAAAAGTCCAAAATCAAAGTATCTTAATGATATCAACCGCGTGAGTCATTTTCCCCCACTCTACACCCACCCCTGCCCCGTACAACGCATACCACGAGCGATTCTCGCCCAAGCCCCGATCCATCCTCTCTGCAACAGGCCAACCACGACGTCTCCTTTAAATTTCCATATATTCTACAAATTTCTCGTGGATTGACCCCTGGACGTGACTGAGCTTAACTTAGCCTGAAATAGATACATCACATCACAACACCAAACCTAAACTTGATTTATTCAATAGTCTTTCAGGAATCTTTAAATCTGGCAAAGAGTGGAACGTACATCAGGTACATGTAGCTTCGGCACATGACTCAAATACTGCCCGCAAATGTATTTCACTGGTGTGATGTCTGCATGGGAGGTATAAGAGTCTTTTGTATAGATCTATCAGATTCGATCAAAGCGATATATGGTATAGCTGAAAAGGAACTATTGGCCCAATAGCGTATCTTTCAACTTTGACCTCAAATCAAATTGACAAACCTCTAAGCGTTGTCGAATCGGGCTAAAGCTTTATGTTTTAAATTTTGTATATCAAATTGAAAATTTTTAGAGCTTTATAAATTTGAAAATTATAAGTTGAAAAATAAGCGAAACCCTGATGATCTGGCATTCTGTCTGCATTCAGATTTGCCGACCAAATTTTTAATTTTGAGTCGCTACTAAAAATAAAATACCTTTCAGATTTCTTTGGCGGTTAGATTTAAAACAAATTAAGAGTAATAATAACATACACCCAGCGACAAAAAAAAAGCCGCACTCTGAAGATTTATGCATTTTTGACTTCTTCAACATGAGTTTTCTCCAAATGATTCGTTTAATTTTTGACGTCGCTTAATCAATTTCAATCAAAAGTCCATACTAATTTGTTTTTATATCATAGTCATATACTTTTAAAATCATACGTTTGTAATTTTTATACCCGATACTCAAAATGAGTATTGGGTATATTAGATTTGTGGAAAAGTGGATGTGTGTAACGTCCAGCAGGAATCGTTTCCGACTCCATAAAGTATATATATTCTTGATCAGCCTCAATAGCCGAGTCGCTTGAGCCATGTCTGTCTGCCCGTCTGTCCGTCCGTCCGTTCGTCCGTCTGTCCGTCCCCTTCAGCGCCTAGTGCTCAAAGACTACAAGAGCTAGAGCAACGATGTTTTGGATCCGGACTTCTGTGATATGTCACTGCTACAAGAATATTTCAAAACTTTGCCCCGCCCACTTTCGCCCCCACAAAGGGCGAAAATCTGTGGCATCCACAATTTCAACGATACGAGAAAACTAAAAACGCAGAATCGTAGAAGTTGACTATATCTTCTAGAGTGCAAAATCTGAACCAGATCGTATAATTATTATAGTCAGAATCAAGAAAACCATTTCATTCTTTCTCGCTCTGTCTCTCTCTAACACACAGGTTTCATGGTCGGTTTTGCCAATTGCAAAATATGAGTTCAAGGATCTCAGAACCTATAAGAGCCAGAGCAACCAAATTTGGTATCCACACTCCTGTGATATCGGACCTTGACCTTTGGTGCACACACTCCTTTAAGATGTCACTATAAAACGTATATCTCAAAATTTCGCCCCACCCCCTTCCGCCCCCACAAAGGACGAAAATCTGTTGCATCTACAATATTACAGATTCGAGAAAACTAAAAACGCAGAATCATAGATAATGACCATATCTATCAGATTGCTGAACCTGGATCAGATCAGATCAGATCATTGTTATAGCCAAAAGGCTATAACAACGACGTCAGACTGATTTTCTGTCTCTCTCGCACGCACTCTTTGTCGTTTCGTTTAATATTAGCGGCGTCTGCCGGAGGAGAGCCATACTGACTTAGTATCGGGTATAACTGTAGAGTTGCGGTGTCCGCAGCAACTCACAGCGTTCCCCCCCCCCCGTTTTTTGGTAATTTCAACCAACGGAATAAAAATTAAATTAACAACTTTTTACAACCAAAACAAATTTTTTTCCAATAAGTTAATTGGTTACTTATAACTAATAACAAATTGAACATAATTTAGAAATTTTTTTTAAAATTAGTAATTACTTAATATTTTGTGTTACCAATCTTAGTAATGGGGTAAGGAAAGATCGTGTTATTATTAAACGAGCCTCAGGATCGGTTTAAAAACTTTTTTAAGATAGCATCAGAGCTGCAGAAATGTTTTGCAATAGAAATTTCAGCTTTAATGATGGCAAGGCTTAATGGCAAGTGCACCTGCCAAAAAGTGGAATGAAGAAAGCTCTCTTAAATAAGGAAAAAGCAAATTGGGATGAATCTGCGTGGTCACGAATCATATTTTCGGATGAACCGCACAGTTCGCCGCAGAAGAGGGGAACGCTATTCCGAAAATTTTAGCATTGCCACCGTAAAGCATTCGCTTTTTACTATGATATATCTAAATATATGCATATCTAAATATAAAATTGAGTCACTAATATTGATTAACGGTATGTTGAATGCAAGTATGAAGAAATTATTCGCAGTGGAGTTGTCTTCATTATGGAATCAGTTAGTAAGATAGAAGAAGATTCCATCCTTTAGGACGATTCTGCACCTTGTCATCAAGCGCGCTCTGTAAATGATTCTTTGAAATTTGCTATTTTCGACTAATTTTCAAAGACAGATAAACATTTTGAAGGCGGAATTTGACATAAAGTTCTTAGGTTGTCCAGGTAACAGCCCCGATCTCAATCCGATAGAGAATGTCTAAGCCAAAAACTATGGTTGAGTTAGTAGAAATTGTAGAAGAAATTTGATTTGAGGTTTGTGAAAAACAAAATACCCTTTGGAAAAAAATCTCGTTTTTGTTGAAGAAACTTCTTTTATAATTTTTCTGACTTTTTCTCCTTCGTTTGATCAAATTACTAAATGACCGTTCAAAAAAGTGTTATTTAAAAAAAAATTTTTTTTAATTGTATGAATATGATTTATATGATTAATTTATAGACAAACAAAAAAATTTAACGAATCGGATTACATTTGGGGTAACTCCATGCTGGAGAAGTCAAAATTGCATAAAATATCAGAGTGCGGTAATTTTTTGTCGCTAGGTGTATATATTTTTGACACCGACATCTAAATTTTGGTTGAAGGTTAGTGACACTCGTGTATGCCTGTCCTCTATTGAGTTACAACTGATATTTTTTTTTTTTTTTTTGTGTAATGTATTTTTTTTCTTTTTAGCATCTTCGTAAGCATATTAATGCCATGACGGAAGTGAACGATTCTCGCCTTAAAGTTTACGAACAGCTGGAAGTAGGTATTCAGGACCTAGAACGCGCAAACCAACGCCTCATCATCGAAAAAAACTCCGATAAAAAGCAAATTAAAACGTAAGATTTTTTAAGTACTCTAAAGCTTTTTTTCTATTAAGCTAGTATTTTTATAAATAGGATATCTTCCAACACTGAAATATTAGAATCTCGCTGCGAAGAGCTCAGCCAACTGCTAAACGAATCAAAACAGGCCCTTAGTATTGAGAGACGGAAAAGTGATCGGTTGCAACAAGAACTTAATAGCAGCATGCCTCCTACTGATAAAAAAATTGGCGATCACAGTGACAAACGCAATATAAAGGTATGCCAAAACCAGAATAAAATCCAAGCCTTGGGGTTCGAACATTTAGATACCCTTGCAGGTAACATATTATATTCGTGACGATATTTCTCTTGAAACACAAAGTCTTTTAGAAACGCGATTATCAGACCACCGAATAGCTGTTCTGTTCTCTGGAACTGTTCTCTGTTTTCTCTGAAAAGACATTGATCGTATGCAAAAATAGGTAATTGGTTCCTTATCTTTAAGACATATTAAAAATAGGGAACAAATTTGGAAACTGGAAAAACAAATTTGCGTATTGTTTGTAGGGGGCGGATCACCGGAGCGGGTATCCAGCGACGGATAGGAAAATATCCAATTGAAGAAGTCAGAATGCTTCCAATAAATGCAAAAGATTCAGTGTATTTGCGGTTGTTGTTTGTATAATTGTGTATGAATAAAAGCGCGCATGTGCACGACGGCAGCTTGTAGCGGGGAGGAAAAACGTAACTGATTCTTACATGATACATGCTAAGACTGGTGAGCGAGAGGCAGGCAGAGGACGATGTAACTGGCTGTTAACAGGCTGTTAGCCTGGGGTGCTAACAGCTCGGTTGCCCTGTTACAGCTGCTGCCCTGAACATGGATGGATTTCTAAGCAGAGTCGGCACCGGTAGGAATGATGCCTCGTGAACGTCTGATTTCCCAAGTGCGGCACGTGGGTCCATCTCTGGACACGGAAAACTAAGATGAAATAAAGGTGACGAAGACACATTAGTACCAAGCTTGGAACGGATGAGAGGCACATTTAGGACTTTGGAAATTGCTACGCGGTTACATGGTCTGTTGAGGCTATGTTGATCTAAGGACGGATTCACATCTAAGTTCAGGCTTGCACTCGGAATGAAGCGTTGAGCTTTCATACCGTGAATATGTTGGAAATATTCCATTTGGTCAAGCGTAGGAGACGGTTCGAGAAATTCTGCGGAGGGAGCTGGAAGGAAATTGCTTTTGTAGATGGACCCGAAATCTTCTACCAGTTTGATAGTTAGTCTGGAAATTTGACTCGAAAACGATGAGATTTGATTCGTCACCCAGCCGAAAATGGTTTCCTGCCCCAGGAGAGAGCCACAGATGTTGGTCTGTGAGCCGCTTAACAGAATGGACGGAAGGATATCCGCTCCAATCAGGACAACTATTTGATAACTCTCATAGAAGGTCGGATCCGCCCATGCAAGGTCGGCAGGTCTCGCAATGAATTTTGCGGGATCGGATAGGATGGCAGGTTACCCGCCAGTTCCGGCAGAACGTAGGCTGTAGCGTTTAAGTGCAAGCCCGGCATCGTCGGGGAACGGATGGCCAAATGACAGAACTTCTTGGATTGAGAGGATACTGTCTGATTGAGGCCCGAGACCTGGGCCTGGATAAGTTGGAACGGCAACTTGATTCTATTGAAGATATGTTCCGTGATAAACGTTGTCTCGGATCCCGGGTCGATTAAAGCGCGGGCGCGGAAACTTGTCTCCAGGTGGAAAATATTAATAGCTGCCGTGCCCAGAAGGACAGCTTTTTGGCCGGAGGCGAAATAATTTTGAACGCTGGGCGGCGCGTCGGAAGAACTCGGATTTGGTACGACTGCCGAAGTAGACTAACTGGAAATTGGATAGCCACGGTGCAGCAGCGTGTGGTGTAGGTCCCCACAAGTACTGCAGTTATGCGCACTTTGGCATTTCCGGATCTGATGGCCTCTCAGGAAGAAGTTGAGACAAAGCTGTCTCTTTTTGATGCAGCTTGAACGAGCATCAGCGTTCATCTGGAGGAAGTGAGGTCATAGCCGGATTGGGTGATTCTGTTTGGAGAAGAGATCACACGTGCTCCTCTTTGGATTCACTGTGGTCTCGAACGAGTGAATCCTCTTAGGAGAAGGACTTCCTTGGGACCGGAACGGATTTCTTCGGGAAGGTGACGGATGCGAATCGCTTTTCGAACTGTATAAGGCGGACGGGTTTCCCTCGATTACTTCGAGCATCAGATATTTCTGGCTTCCATGAAGGCATTTCATTTTTTGTGGTGATGGAATCTTCCCACAAAGCCCTTGTCAACCTCGGTAATTTGGAGGCGCAAATGGTCACCAGCAAGCTGTCCCAATTTTCGGTTGAAACTCGGAACCAATGGAACATTGATCGCAGTAAAAAGGTCTCGGAACATAGGCCAGCGGACGTAGTCCCCACCGAAAACTTCTATGTTGCATGGGGGGAGTCTGCAGCCGCCGTGGAATTCTGGTTGTGTGGAAGGACGGCCTGCTGGGTGTACTTGTTGGTTGCTGGTTGGACACTGTTCGTACACAGTAAAGCAGTCATCGAATTTGGATTGAAGGTCCGCTTCAGACTGCGGACCCTCTTCAGCCACAAATGCGAACACTTCTTATGCTCTGCCTCAACCTCGGCCCACATGCTTCGGATTTGGACATGTCGTACCGTGGCAAGCGAGGCGGATGGAGTGCGGGGATTCGGAAGGTTTATTCGCTCTCCGAAATGCATAAGCTTGCGTAAGGCTGCTTCGAACTTAGCCATTGCGGCAGTGGCGGCGGAGCGAACCAGCGGAGCTTATGGTGGGCCCTGGAGTACCTGGCGACTTCACTTTGTGAGTCACCGAGGTGGGCGTTTCTGGGGCGGAAGAGCTGCGTGGTCTTCTGACATTTGGAGAGGTCACCGACAAAAGTTTTTTACTCTCTTCGCGACCTGTTGTCATATTCGGAACTCACGAAGAAAAAAAAAATATTTCAAATCGGATGAGGAAGTCTGAGAAAGCCGTACTTATTCGGACGCGTTTCAGAACTCGATACTATCGATGTTGATGTTGATCGATAGGTCGCCCATCCCTGGTTCCACGGGTGATGGACAGATTGAAAATTTAAATGCAATTAAGTGCCAAAACACGCACCTTGCATGGATTGGCGACAATTTATCTTAAATTCGGAAGTGCTTATGTGTACAGAGGATACCGTGCAGTGCAGCAGGACTGGATATATTTATGTGATGCGATCGCACTCTATACCGAATTGAATGGAGAGGGAGGAAAGAAGATGACGATGTAGATGTGGATGTTCATGTACTACGAACCGTGGATATGTGGTTTTGGTGGAATTTTTTGCGAGTATTTATATTATGGAAATCGTAAGTACTACGATCAAAAAACAAAGAAACCAACCAAGAAAGAAAGTTGAGGATGGACAATAATATTGAGGCACGAGGTACCAATATATAGTCGTTTTCAAGCGGCCGTTCAAAAACAATATACCATAGAAATGCTCCGTTACGGTCAAGCGTGGTACCGAAAAATATTCTCCAACAACTACAGAGAAGCGAAAGCGAAATGATATACGAAAAGAATGCACCGCTGCTGCTGCTTGTATGTGTATGTATGGCTGTAAGTGCTATGTACCGCGGCTTGGGTTGACGAACCACCCTTTTGGCGAGATGTAAAACAACAGTTAAAAACGGTGTATAACCCTTTTACATACAATATATATATATATATCGATGTGCAGGAATATGCTAATTTAAAATGTGCAGTATATATGGAGGCGTGTGGTATTTTTATTGGTAATATAATTAGACGCAAAGTAAAGAGACGTAGTGATTTATCTTTATAAAACTGAAAAAAATCTATAGAACGTTGAGAATGCACGGAATAAACAACAAAGTCTTTATGTTTGTTGCCAGCCGCTTGGATTACACATGCTTACACATGTATTTTTTTTTTTTTTTTTTTTGGTAAACAATTTATGCTTAGTTTGTCCGGCTTTGCTCTAGCCTGCGCAGCACCTTAATCACGCTTGCTGCCATGTCGGCGACCGCGTTCCATGATTGCTCATCGGCTAGCATCTGGTCGGTGAGGGTGTCTACATTCACTTCTGCAAGCGTCTCCCCTAGCCTCGTTCGTTCTTGCGAGAAGCGGGGGCATACAAAGAAGACGTGCTCTGCATCCTCGTCGACTCCAGGCCCGCAGCAGCTGCAATACGGGTCGTCAGCATGCCTAAAGCGATGCAGGTACTGCTTGAAGCAGCCATGCCCCGTCAGCAGTTGGCCCAAATAATGGTCCATTTGGCCGTGCCTTCTTCGCAGCCATGGGCTAAGCTGGGGAAGGAGTCGTCTGGTCCACCTCCCTTTTGCCGCTTGGTCCCAGCGCCGTTGCCACTGGGCTATGGTGCGCTCCCGCCGCTCGCTGGCTACCTCCACTCCGCTCTGCCGCTCAGCTGCCAGGAGATCCAGCGGGACCATGCCTGCCACAACAAGTGCGGCGTCTTCAGACACCGTCCGGAAGCAGCATGTAACCCTCAGGGCACAGCCTCGGTATGCGCTTCTGCAGTCTCTGCTGTATGTGGAAACCATCATTGCTGGTGCCCACACTGCTGATCCATATAAGATTATAGCTGCCGTGGTCTTCCTGTATTGGCCATCATCCTGCTAGTGGCCGCCGTTGCTGCAGTCGCTTTTGCGCTGGCGTATTCCAAGTGGGCCTTGAACGTCAGCCTCTGGTCCATCATTACCCCAAGGTACTTTAGCGCAGGCTTGGTCCTGATGATCGAGCTACGGACTCTCACACATGCCTGCTCGACCTTTTTCCTGCTGCTCATTAGCACAGCCTCCGTCTTCTTCTCCGCCAATGCTAGCCCGTTGGCTGCGAGCCAGGCCACTATCATCCCGACTGCTACGTTGGTTTTCTCCTCTGCGTCTCTTACGTGTTTCGACACTGTCACCAGTGCTATGTCGTCGGCGAAGCCCACCAGGGTGCACCCTTCTGGTAATGTAAGCCGCAGGATGTCGTCATACATCACGTTCCACAGTATCGGCCCTAGGACCGAGCCCTGTGGGACGCCTCCGGTGATTTGGTGATATTCTGCTCCTTCTTCCGTGTCGTAGATCAGGACGCGGTCCGTCAAATAGCTTCGCAGCGTCCGTGTGATTTGTTCAGATATACCAGGTCAGGCCCTGGTCAGAGCCTCTAGGATGCTCTTCCAGCTGGCAGAGTTGAAGGCGTTTCGTACGTCTAGTGTACATACTAGGCAGTACTTTTTTTTTGCCTCCAGCCCATCGCGTTCCTGCCATGGCTTCCCTGCAAGGCTGTCACCATCTCGATGGCGTCGGT